CGTTTTAAAACTGAATATAGTTTACATATAGCATTATTTTAAGGTAGATTACATTTTAGAAGCAGCAAACTCTCCTTTGGTTCATTGTCATCAAATATACATACTTTGTAATCATGAAAGCCAAATAACAGAAAGAACAAAATTATTAGAGAATCAACATAAACTTTTCTAGTTAGTTGTGTGTAATTTCCTATAAACATTCTCAATCTTATTTTATTTAATATCAAAAGTGATCTAACATTTTTTGTAGTTTTTATCATGATTTATATAAACTCTTAAATAATAAACTTCGCATATATGCGGAGCCTACACTAGATTAAGACCTCCTTATCTTTTCTTTCATGTTTCTCTGCAAGTTTAATTTTTCAGCTGATACTTTTGCTATATCCGCTATTTTTGTAACCTTTGTCTGGTTTGGACGAAACATTTTAAGGAACGAAAACAACGAATTGACAAAAAAAACAGCAGTAATGAAATTTCCAATTTGATGTAACTTTGTACATTAATTTTGGTGTGGTTTTAGGTACCTAACTTTGAATGTGTTCATGGGTTGCGTTATTTGTATTTTATTTTGTTGATTTTTCCTTGTACTAATTATCTGCTATATTTAAGTATTACTCTTGGCATTAACCACAAACCTATTCGTCAAAAAGAAAAAAAAATTAGAGAAGTAAGATTGCATTGTATGAAATTGAAGTCGAGTGTGCATAAGAAATTAACCAGAGAGGTAGATTCAAAAAAAAAAAAAACGCTTGAGTCCAATAACCACTGAGGTAGAACTGATAACAGAGGACTTTTTTTTAAACAAAAAAAGACTAAACCAATAAAAGAGCAAGACGGCAATGAAATGTCACTCAGATTCCAATTCAGCAGATCGGATTCCGTTCAATGAGATCGAGATCCACCTGCGACGAAGAACGAAATGAAATGCAGATTGAGTTATATATAGCAATGGAAACAAGTGAATGGGTTAACTAAAAATGTCTTAAGAAGAAAAATATCTTGTGAGTTACCTTGTGACCAAACAAATCTCGGATGTTGTCGATACCGTATAATATCATTGTTGGCCTAGTTTATGGGAAAAAAAAAATCAGCAATGAACATATGATGTTGGAAGTGGGGGAATCATACCTTTCAAGAGAAAGACCCCAAGCTATGACTCGGACATCCTCAGGGAAACCCATCGGTAAAAGCATTTCTGGTCTGAACACTCCAGGGTTTCCAATCTCTACCCACTTCCCTAAACCTTCATGGTAGCTGAAACAAACAAAGATTTAACCCTTTTTGTCTCTCAGTTTGCTGATGAGATTTTTACAAGATTATTATATAGTTTTCATCAATTACCTGAAAATCTCCATACTTGGTTCTGTGAAAGGGTTGTAAGCTGGCTTGAACTGTATATTTGGAATCCCTGAATAACATAAATTGCATGCATGAGTTTTAGTTTCTCTCTTTGAACCAAAATTAAGAGTCAACTGGAAACATTTACCTAAGCGTGAGTAGAAGTCATTTAATACACCAATCAGGTCTCCCAACGTAAGACCCCGGTCACATATTAAACCTGATCAAAACATGAGATATATCATTTAACCAATTGAATATGCGAATTCAAAATTTGGCAGAACACTATGGTTAACTGGTCAAAACATCTGCCAATCAGTATGATACCTTCACTTTGATGGAACTCTGCCAGATGGGTGATACAATCTTCCCAAGGAAATCACACTCTTGATCGAATTTGGCTGATAGATCTTTGACTCCAAACGGATTCACGGAGAAGATGCTAAGGGGTGGGTTGAAACCCGAAGATCCTTAGGCCCAAACTCGCGGTGAAAGGCTTGAAACAAAGGGGTGACTAAGCTGGCTGATTGGATCCACAGAAAAAGGATGTTAAGGCGCGAGAACTAAGTTCCCGAAAATCCTTAAGCCGCTTTAACGACTTGAACGTCCCAACGAGACAATTGGGTGAAAGCTGCGTCAAGTGTAATGAACGACACTTGATAAACCGTAAATGATCAAATGGCTAACCACCAAGTAATCAGAAAAAAGTTCACGAAGAACAAAAGAGAGAATTCTCTAAGAAATTTTATTAAGGAAAAAGTGAATGAATGAGATCTGAGATCTCTACATCGTTTATATAGGGGAAGGAGCAGGCGAAAAGCCATACTCGGTAAAGACAATTTTATTAAATGAAGCTAAGACCGAAATAATAAAGCTTGGACTGACTCCTCGGCTGCCTTGACTACGTTGAATGACTCTTGAACTGCCAGCCGAGATGACTCTTGGAATTCTTCATGAGTTTGGGCCGGGAAAGGAATGTAAGCCCATAGCCTTGTTAAAACCTCTACCCGGAAAACCCATTGGGACAAAACCGAGCACAGGAAAAAGAGTACCATGAACTTACACGCCGGCCAAACCTCAATCCGATTCCTGTTACGATACTGAGGTCAAGATGGCAAGTGTAAGTTGCTCTTTATTGACCCGACCATGAACCTCCATGTTCCCGATTCCCTCAAGCAAACTCCGAACAGCTCCAGCAAGCTTCCGGGTCTTGGACCGCGTTAATGGACCCTTCGGAACGATTAAGACTGATTCTAGAACCTCCAATTGTGCCTCTGGGTCCATGATCACATCATCCCCCCTCTTGAAAAGGACTTGTCCTCAAGTCTGGTCCATTTGAAACAAAAGGGATAATGTCAGCCATATTAAAACTAGAACTCACAGCATACTTACCTTGGAGATCAATCTTGTAGGCATTGTTGTTGATCCGTTCCAAAACAGTGAAGGGTCCGTCCACTTTGGGCAAGAGCTTGGACTTTCTTTCCTCTGGAAATCGTTCATTTCTCAAGTAAATCCAAACAAGGTCGCCTGGTTCAAATATTTTCTCGCTCCGGCCCTTGTTTGCATGCTTTCGGTACAGCTCCGTCTTGCGTTCAATGTTCTGCTTTGCCTTTTCGTGCATCTGCTTGACCAGCTCGGCCTTTTTCTTACCATCCATACTTACACGCTCACTCATAGGTAAAGGAGTTAGATCAAGAGGTGTAAGTGGATTAAAACCATAAACGAGCTGAAATGGTGAGAATAAGGTCGTAGAATGCACAGCATAATTATAAGCGAATTCTACATGAGGCAAGCAATCTTCCCAAGACTTAATGTTCTTCCTAATCACAGCACGCAAAAGGGTAGAAAAAGTCCTATTGACCACCTCGGTCTGACCATCTGATTGCGGATGATAAGTAGTGGAAAAACACAGTTTTGTTCTTAACTTAGACCAAAGAGTTTTCCAGAAATAACTCAAGAACTTTGTATCTCTATCCGAGACTATGGTCCTAGGCATTCCATGCAATCGAACAATCTCCTTAAAAAACAAATCTGCTATGTTCGATGCATCATCGGTTTTTTGACAAGGTATGAAATGGGCCATTTTTTGAAAACATATCTACCACAACAAAGACCGAATCACTTCCTTTCCGAGTCCTAGGCAAACCTAAAACAAAATCTATCGAAATGTCCGTCCATGGTTCGGTAGGAATGGGTAAAGGGGAATACAGACCTTGATTTTGGCTTTTGGACTTGGCAAACTTACAAGTTGTACACCGGCCACAGATCCGTTCCACATCGCGTTTCATATGAGGCCAAAAGAAATGGTCCTGCAAGATGTGAAGGGTCTTGGCCATGCCAAAATGTCCCATTATAGCCCCACCGTGTGCTTCCCTGACAAGCAAATCTCGCAATGAAGAGTTAGGGATGCATAGTCGGTTCTCATAGAACAAAAATCCATCATTTTGGAAATATTTGCCATAAGCGAATTTTTCACAAGAAAGAAAGACTTCCTGAAAGTCTGGGTCGGTGGCATAAGCGTCCTTGATCATTTCAAACCCAAGGATCTTGGCGTCAAGAGTTGAAATCAGTGCATAGCGTCGTGACAAGGCATCGGCCACCACATTCTCTTTGCTTTGTTTGTATTGGATTACATAAGGGAACGTCTCTATGAACTCTACCCACCGAGCATGCCTCTTATTCAGTTTCTGTTGTCCCTTAAGGTGTTTGAGAGACTGATGGTCGATGTGGATCACAAATTCTTTCGGCCAAAGGTAGTGCTGCCAGGTCTGAAGTGCGCGGACTAAGGCATAGAGCTCCTTATCATAAGTCGGATAGTTCAGCGTAGCTCCACCAAGCTTCTCACTAAAGAAAGCAATCAACTTCTTTTCCTGCATCAGTACGGCTCCTATACCTACACCAGAAGCATCACATTCAATCTCGAAAGTTTTGAGAAAATCTGGTAAAACAAGTAAAGGGGCGTGAGTAAGCTTGTGTTTTAGCAGCTGGAATGCATCCTCTTGGGCTTGTTCCCACTTAAAGCCCACGTCCTTCTTGATGACCTCAGTTAGTGGTGCGGCAATGATGCTGAAGTCCTGAACAAATTGCCTATAGAAATCGGCTAGGCCATGAAAGCTTCGGACTTCTCCAACCGTCTTAGGGCTTGGCCAATCCCGAATGGCCTTAATCTTTTCCTCGTCCACCTGTATGTCATGTGAACTCACCACAAAACCTAAAAAGACCACGGTATCTGTACAAAAATAATATTTCTTAAAGTTACCGAAAAGTCTTCCTTGCCTAAGCACCTCTAAAACCTGTCGCAAATGTCCCACATGATCATCTAGAATTTTGCTGTAAATCAGGATATCATCCAAATATACTACACCAAAGACACCTATGAAAGACCTAAGGACATGGTTCATTAAACGCATGAAAGTACTGGCTGCATTAGTAAGGCCAAATGGCATGACAAGCCATTCATACAGACCGTGTTTGGTTTTGAAAGCGGTTTTCCACTCATCACCTTCCTTCATCCGGATTTGGTGATAACCACTTTTCAAGTCAATTTTCGAAAAGACACTAGACCCATGTAACTCATCGAGCATATCATCTAACCTGGGAATGGGATGGCGGTACTTAACTGTGATGTTGTTGATAGCCCGATAGTCTACGCACATCCTCTAGGTTCCGTCTTTTTTCGGCACAAGCAAAACGGGTACCGCACATGGACTCATGCTTTCTCGGATGTAGCCTTTCTCCATAAGCTCGCCAACCTGCTTCTGAAGCTCCTTTGTTTCAAGTGGATTGGTTTTGTAAGCTGGCCGGTTCGGTAATGAGGCTCTAGGTAGAAAATCAATCTGATGTTCGATCCCTCGGATCGGTGGTAAGCCGTCTGGGTTGTCTTCCGGGAACACATCGGAAAATTCTTGCCAAACATATGAAATACTGCTCGGAAGAACCGGCTCTGGGTCAGAGATACTAGTCAAAGCATCCTTAAACAATAGAAGAATGAAAGGCTGCCTAGAAAGCAAGGCGTGTTTAATCTCACTCGGCCTCACAAATAATGAATGGTTTGAACTGCCGGGTTCACTCTCAAAGGCCATTTGCTGGGTTTTTCTCAGACTCTCACTCTCAGATTTAGTGAAAGAGGTGTTTGGAAGATCACTCACAATGGATTTTCCCTTGCTGTTCTGCTCAAGTCTAAGTTGGTCCAAGTAAACTTCGCGGAAAGATAAGGGTGCAAGAGTAACCTTCCGGCCCTTGAACTTGAAGGAATGTTTGTTGGTGAAGCCATCGTGTACTGCCCTCTGGTCATACTGCCATGGTCTCCCGAGTAATATATGGCCGGCCTCCATGGGTAACACATTGCACACCACTACGTCCTCGTATCGGCCGATTGCTAAAGGCACCGAAACCTACTTAGTAACCTTCAGCTGCCTCTGATTGTTTAACCACCTAAGGCTGTATGGCTGCAGATTTTTCCGAGTGACAAGGTTCAATTTCTCCACCAAGGTAGTGCTAGCAACGTTCGTGCAGCTTCCTCCGTCTATGATAAGGCTGCACACCTTTCCCTGAACAACACATCAGGTCTGAAAAAGGTTTTCCCGCTGTTCCTCCTTCTTGACCGGTTCCTGAGTTAGCAAAACTTGTCTAGATACGAGCAGTTTGTTAGAATATTTAGAGACTAAGCGGAATAAAGAGATTTGAGAGAGTGTGCAAAAGAGATGAGAGAAAGAGTTCCCAAAGTAGTGTGTTTATTCATTCTCGTCTTTGATACATATATAGAGGAGACAGAATAGAAACTAGGTTTAGCTAAGCTACAATACAAAAGAAAGTGGTTAGAGACATAAGGAAACATGTGAGTCTTGAGCATGGATCCCGAGAGATAGTGACAGCTCCAACGGTCACAAGACCAAGTGTAAATGACGCGCCAAGGGGGGACCATTGTACGGACACCAACTCTCTTCTTCCTTAAACATCACACGTGATCCCTTGAGCCTTCTCTCCTTATTAAAGGCTAACACCGATTCAAGCCCTAAAGCATAGAACCTTTCTTGACCAATACTCCCCCTCAAGCTTAGCCATCGAAGTTGTTTAGATTGCTAAGCTTGAAGACCCATGAGCATCACCTCATTAAAAACCTTAACAAGGAAAACCTCATGGGACAAAACCTTGTTAAGGGAAAAAGAGTGTGATGTCCATGGATCAAGGACTATGATCAAGGGCGACTAAGGTCCACAAGTCCTAGCTTGCTAAAGAGATTGTTGCAAACTTTAAGACTTGCGGCCTTAGTGAAAATATCAGCCAACTGGTCTTCACTTCTTGTGTAACACGGTAACACCACACCTTCCTCAATCTTCTCACGGACCTTGTGGCAATCTATTTCAATAGACTTTGTTCTCTCATGAAACACCGAGTTTGTTGCAATGTGTATAGCAGCTTGGTTATCACAATGCATTGTAATCGGACCTTCTTGCTCAATGCCAAGGTCTTTAAGGAGCGCCTTAAGCCAGGTTAATTCACTTGTAAGCTTCCTCATTGCCCTATATTCAGCTTCTGCGGTTGAGCATGAGACCACCTTTTGCTTCTTAGTCTTCCAGGTTACAAGATTTCCACCAATGAAAGTACAATACCCACTTGTTGACTTTCTATCAACACGATCACCAGCCCAATCTGAGTCGCAATATCCCACAATCTCTGTATTATTGTTCTTTCCCATCCAAATGCCTTGTCCTGGACTCCCTTTGAGGTATCTGAGAATTCTTTCCACCATACCCCAATGATACACTGTCGGAGCTTGCATATGTTGGCTTACTTGATTCACGGCGAAGCAGAGATCTGGCCTTGTGAGAGTGAGATAGATCAGTTTGCCAACAAGTCGTCGATACCTAAATACATCCTTGAAGGCTTCATCTGATTTCTCCCCCTTTCGATTGACTTTGTAGCCCTCTTCAAGCGGCGTTTTGGCTGGTTTAGCTCCAAGTTTTCCTGTCTCTTTGAGAAGATCAACTGTGTATTTCCTCTGAGACAGAAAGAGACCCTCAGGAGACCTACACACCTCAATGCCAAGGAAATACTTGAGCTCGCCGAGGTCTTTAATGTCGAATACCGAGTTAAGAAAGGCTTTTGTAGACTGAATTCCCTCCTTGTCATCTCCAGAAATGATAAGATCGTCTACATAAACAAGAACAACCACCAGACCTTGAGAACTTTGGAGGGTAAACAAAGTATGATCCGAGTGAGACTTCTTGAACCCCTTTTCCATCAGAGTGGTACTAAGCTTGTTATACCAGGCTCTTGGAGATTGTTTCAATCCATATATAGCTTTCCTCAATCTCAAAACGTTACCGGGTGCAACAATATCCTCTAAGCCTGGAGGAGGGGTCATATACACTTCTTCCTGAAGTTCCCCTTGAAGGAATGCATTTTTCACATCCATTTGCCACAGATCCCACGAGAGATTAGTAGCGAGTGAGAGGACTACTCTTACAGTATGGAGCTTGGCAACCGGAGCAAACGTGTCTGTATAATCTTCTCCAAAGGTCTGAGTGAACCCTCTTGCAACCAACCGAGCCTTGTATCTCTCAATTTCACCGTTACTCTTATACTTGATAGTGAAAACCCACTTTGAGCTCACAGCTCGCTTCCCTGGTGGTAACTCGGCTTCATCCCAAGTATGGTTGCGCTCCATAGCTCCTCTCTCGTCACCTATAGCTTCAATCCACTCCTTCTTGTCTTTAGCTTCTTCATAGCTTTGAGGAATTTCGTGTTCCTCAATTTTTCCCATGAACGCTTGATGATCAGAGGGCAACAAGGCAAGAGAACAAACAGCCTGAATTGGATGAGCTACAGCTTGACTATTGTAGTAGACTCTGGTGTTCTTGCTGAGCCTAGTACTTCTTCTTAATGGCTGAACAGGTTCCTCTACAATACAATTAGATGGATCCTTGATGAGCCTAGTACTTCTTCTTAATGGCTGAACAGGTTCCTCTACAACCGCCTCTCCTTGTTCTTGTGGGACTGATTCCTCTGCCTCCACTTCTAAGTCATCTGGAGTTGGCTCTTGACTCTGCTCCTCTTCTTGATTTACTTCTGAACTCAATGGTACCGGCTCAGCTTCTTCTTGAGTACTTGTAGGAACCGGCTTATGCACTTGCTTGGGCAGGACTGGGTTCCCAAGGTGATCCAGCAAGAACCGCAGACTGGTAGCGAGATCTGATGGGGAGCTTGACAGGTCTTTGAGACTCTCCCAATTCTTCTTGTCATAGTATCCCTGGTTCTCAAGAAATTTGACCTCCCTGGACACATAAGTGCGGCTATTAACAGGATCATAGCACTTGTACCCCTTCTGAGTTGTTGAATACCCAAGGAATATACACTTTATGCTTTTGGCCTCAAGTTTGTTTCTCTGTTCACCTGGAACAAACACAAAACAAACACACCCAAAAACACGTAAGTGATCTAATGAGGGTTTAGTTTTGTTAAGTACCTCAAATGGTGATGAGTCTTGTAAGACTTTTGTTGGGGTCCGGTTAATGAGATAGCATGCGGCTAAGACAGCATCTCCCCAAAAACGTTTAGGCACATTTGTATGGAACATCATCGACCTGGCCACCTCCATTAAATGTCTATTCTTCCTCTCAGCAACTCCATTTTGTTGTGGAGTGTAAGGGCAACTGGTTTGGTGTAAGATGCCATGCTTTGCTAGATGTTCTTTGAATCTTTGACTTGTATACTCACCGCCATTATCTGATCTAAGAATCTTAATCTTGGCATTAAAATGATTAGTCACATAATTTTGAAAGTTTGTGAATGCTTCAAATACACAGTCTTTAGAGGGAAGTAAAGTTATCCAGGTATATTTTGATTTTTTATCAATGAAGGTCACAAAGTATTTATTACTATCCCTAGACATGCAAGGTGAAGTCCACACATCAGAATGAACCAAGTCAAAGCAATGTTCATAAATAGTAGATGATTTAGGGAAAATAACTCGACAATGTTTACCAAGAATACAAGATTCACAACTTGTGTGATCAAAAGCAACATCAGGTAACATTAATTCAAGAGCACGCGAGTGAGGGTGACCTAATCTAGCATGCCAAATAGAGTTCAAACTTGCAGAAAAACATGAATTAAAAGAGAAAGCATTTGAGTCGCTTGGTGAAGAATCCTCGAGAACATATAGATCATCTTTGGTTCCCCCTTTTCCAAGTACCTTCCCATTCTTAATATCCTGAAAGTGAACATCATTAGGACCAAATATCGCATAACAGTCTAAGTCCTTGGTAGCTCTACTAACCGATAATAAGTTAGAAGTGAACTTAGGCACAAACAGTGCTTTACTATCTTTATTAAATAACTTTAGGTTACCAGTTCCTTCTATGGGAATTCCATCACCATTAGCTATCACAACATTTCCTAAAGCCGGTTTTATGTTGTTTAACAGTTCAGGGTTACTAATCATATGATGAGATGCACCTGAATCGACAACTAAAGCGGTTTTAGGTTTATTAGAGAAGAAGGTGATACCAGACTGTTTTGCGGCTAAGGCTTTGATAAGAGCCTCAAGGTCGGTCTTTCTTACAAACTCAGTCGAGACATTCATGGCACCATCTCCACCTTGTGTCAATGCACCGGCTCCTTCTTGAGCAAAGCTAGCTCTTGCATCCTTGAACTTGCTCGGCTTCAGGTGGGGATGAAGAATCCAACATTTATCTTTGATGTGACCCTTCTTCTTGCAATGGTCACAGATCCATGGCTTCCTGTCATCGGGTTTAAAGACACCTTTGTTGGCCGAGATGAGCTCTTGCTTCTTGAAGAGACCAATAGAACCTTGCTCCTTTTGGATACTTGCACAAACGTCTTCAAGGCTTGGGAGCTTATCCTCTCTCAAAATGTGCTCCCAAGCCTTGATTCCAAAGCCCTCGTCCACACAACGCCGTCTTTGTGGTTCTAGACCACAACAAGTAGTTTCCTCCTTTGAGGATAACAGGAATCACCACCGGTTTTGAGATCTCGGTGTTTGCATCGTTTGAACTCATTTTGTTCTTGAGGGGTTTTGAGAAACAAGAGAATAAGAGATGAGCGAACTAGAGAATGAGAGATTTAGAGAATAAGGTTTAAAGAATAGAGAAAAGAAACTCAGGAAATCGGAACCAATCGCTCTGATACCATGTTAGATATTTAGAGACTAAGCGGAATAAAGAGATTTGAGAGAGTGTGCAAAAGAGATGAGAGAAAGAGTTCCCAAAGTAGTGTGTTTATTCATTCTCGTCTTTGATACATATATAGAGGAGACAGAATAGAAACTAGGTTTAGCTAAGCTACAATACAAAAGAAAGTGGTTAGAGAC